CAGAAAAGATATTAAAATTCCGAAAAAAAAACGCAACAGCTTACAGTTCAAGCAGTTCGACAACAGACATTTGGCACACACTTATTAATTCTCGTAAGAAGTTCTGAGTCTTTTCCAACTCAATAGAAATATCGACGAGAGATGGCTGACATACGAAAATTGTGCATAGTGCTTCTAAGGAACCACAACGGTCGAGCAGAGCTAATACGCTGAATTCCTCCATTGCCCTTTCTAAAGCAGTAAGTTTCATTTATCTCAGAAACAATCATGTTTTAATGTACGTTTGCTTTCTGGTCAAGATCAAAATTAACGTTACCCAACATATCTTCTAAGATATCAGACTTCATCGCAATGCAACTGATGCAATATACTTCCAAACTATTAAGCTTGCCTTCGATGGGAGGAAGTCAAACCATTACAAATCACCTACAGGAGAGCGAGATATGACAAATGCACAAGGCAACAAGTTACTTTACTCCGACCGACAACCTCTGTCATAGTGACATATAACATAGGATAGGTACGTAAATGACAAGCAATAATTTTTCGCCGTAATCTGCCCAGTTTTCCTGTCATTTTGTTGAAATTCAACACATGTGCATTCGCAGCTGCTGATGCCCCAATCAACGAAAAGTAGCATATTATTGTATAAAATTAGTTATCAGATAAATTTGTGCAATTTTTTTCAAGAATATCTAAAGAAACTGAAAGCCTTGGCAGCACTTGTATATCAAAAAGTAAAAATCCGTGTGCTTTGCTTATTCAATGACTATAGTTGAGTGAAACTATAAGTAATTGTATATGTACTTTTGAAAGGAAAAAAAGATAACCAAAAGCTTAATTACTGCAACTCTTTGACTAGCCGGGAGCATGCATTAAATACCAGGCGCTTGACAACTCGACAGAAGTCTCACCAATGCGTGAAACGAATAGATGTCTATACGCGTACATCAACGCAGAGAAGGACTCTCCCAATACTTCCGCACACAAGGTGAGCAATGATAGTGTCTGGAATGATACCCAAACATAGAAGGATTTCTAAAGACGTGGAATGCATTACCTTGTTTCTTATATTTTGACTCCCGCTAAATAGTTGATCGGCTATGCAGTTCATGAATATTGCTACCTTCGGATCATCAAGCTTACAATTCTGAAAATACGAGATTCTTTACAACGCAAAGGCCTGTTAGGTTGCTGTTTAAGTTACGAACAGTAAGGCAGCGTTTCAATAACTTCTCAATAGCCCCCACAGCCATATCCACAGCGCCACAAGATACTTGGTCGGTCATGCCAACAAGAACCTGTAAGCACGCAAATAGCGTAATAAATCTGGAAATCAGGTACTCACTTCTACGAGACTATCCATGAACCTGCTCATATACGCAAAGACTACGGAATCGGGATAATT